GCAGCAGCTGGAGCCACAGCAGCTGGACCCACCAGAGCAAGAGGGGCGGCAGCAGCTGGACACACAGCAGGGCCTGCAGCAGCTGGGGCGGCAGCAGGTGGTCCTGCAGCAGGTGGTCTGGCAGCACCTGGGCTGGCAGCAGCCATAGCCCTGGCCAGAGCAGCAGGAGCCACAAGAGGAGTTGCACATGGTGTCAGAGACTGGAGGTTCTGATGTTAGCTAGAGAGTGAGTTTTAGTGAACGTTAACGTCCCTTCACCATGCATCCTCTTTTATACTCTGCTGAGGCTGTTGTGACCATTTCCTGGGACCATTTCCTGCCTTTTTTTTTCCCTAAGGAAATATTAGTCATTTTGTGACATCATTGTTTTTTTCTTTCTAAATATGTTAAGGTTTCCTTTCCCCTGTGTGTTACAATGGTCCAATCCAGTCTTTCTCACTGAATTGTCATTTCTATTTCCTTGTTTGTCAACTCTATTTTCTCAGGAGGGCCATCTCATAGATTCAGTCATTGGTCTGTGTCTGTGGTCTGTGTATCACTCATGATGCTTTGGGGGCCGATTAGTCTCATGATGCCAAGATCTCTTTTGATGTTGAAAGAGAATCAGAATTATAGTAGGGAAATAGGAAAAAAAAAAGGTTCTCTTTGTAAGTAGTTCCCTGTGAGTCATGAGGACACAATCCTATCTGTGAGTCATAAATGCTCATTAGATAGAGGGCTGTCTAGGCTACTTCCAGGAATGCATCAGGAATTAYTTCCTTCATTCAATTCAAAACTCTTACCAATGACTCATTGTTTTACATAAGAAAAGGCATTTGGAGACACCTTGAAGGGACTCTCACTGGCCCCATCTGGGACAACTTGAATACCAAAATGAATTATGGCAGTAACAGATTTTAGCCCATGAAATAAAACAATAATTCGTAAGCCCATAGTGAGACTAATTAGAGAAATGATAAAGGAAGGTGAGAAAGTTATTCATGTCAGTAGAATGACAATTAATAAATGTAGAGAAATAACGAAGTTACAAAATCATATATATATATATATATATATATATCATAATAAAACTAAGGAAAATTAAGTAAGTTTCATCAATGAATGCGATAACTATTGGGTAAAATTTTGATCAGGAACAGGGTATTTGTACACTTCAAAATATTTCCCCATCAAAATGGAAGACATATTGGTAGGTGAATTAAGCCAGACTCAGAAAACCAAGGGTCAAATGTTTTTTCTCGTATGTGGAATCTAGAGCAAAATAAGGGGAAAAGGTGAGGGAATTGGATGCCATAGGAAAAGATCAGTGTAATAGAAGAAGGAGAAGGAGAAGAAGGAAGGATGGAAAAGGGGAGGAAATGGGATTAATTTAAGAAAATCATACTATGTGCATGTATAAATATACCACAGTGAATCCCACCTTTATGTATATGTAGGATGCACCAATCAAAAACAAATAAATGAGCAAAATAAATGTTTCCCCATTAACCATTTATTAACTTCAAAGGGAAAAATGCTAACTTTACTGTGAAGAATCTTGAGAATACACATTTAAAAAGTTAGTATCAAAGATAGTATCTTTTATTTTTTTATTTTATTTCATTGCATTTCAATTCATGGTACACAGATGAAGCACAACTTTTCATTTCTCTGGTTGTACACGATGTAGAGTTGTGCCACATGTATAGTCATACTTGTACCTAGGGTAATGATGTCTATCTTATTTCACTATCTTTCCTGCCCCCATGCTCCCTCCCCACCTCTCCCTCCACTTTGTCCCATCAAAGTTTCTCCAAAAATTTTTATTCAGTGTTGGTATATTAAGAGTGGGTAGTTTAGCCAGGCTTGGTGGTGCATCCCTGTAATCCCAGCAGCTCGGGAGGTTGAGTCAGAAAGATTGTGAGTTCAAAGACATCATCAGTAACTTAGTGAGGCCCTAAGCAACTCAGTGAGACCCTGTCTCTAAATAAAATATAAAATAGGGCCTAGGGATGTGACTCAATGGTTAGGCACCCCCGAGTTCAATCCTAGTACCAACGAAAAGAAAAAAAAAAAAAGAGTGAGTAGTTTGGGTCTTTGAGGAGGAAGCCAAAGTATTTGATGAATTTTACTTAAAGGGGCTTTTACTGTAAGTACCCATTTTTATTGATCTAACACACACAGTAATTCTTTCACCTTCTTGGTTCCCCTAAAACTAAAGAGTTGCTAGTAACATGATTCACCCAGCATTTATGAACAGATCCACCTCCTGATACAAGCAAATAGAAGTGCTTCAAAAATTTTTAAAAAATATTTCAATTACATAGGTGAATTTGAAGAAGAAAGGAAAAAAAAAGAAGGAAATTTCTTATTTTTCAGAATCAAAGAGGGAACTCAAACCGCAAATTGTAGCAGATGTCTTGTGGCCTATGAAGTTTTGRCATCTGGTTGTAGGCTTTCAGAAATGGTGGCCGGTGGCCTCAGACAGGTACAAGAAATTGGACCTTGAACTATATCACAAGGCAGGGTCTAGGATATGAGGCCCCTGCATAAAGTTTGTATTCTTAAAGTGGTATCTTGTGAAGAAGATGGAGACAAGAAAGCCTAAGTCTGATTTCAGAAATTCTACATGCCAATCAAATCTCTCATGAACATTTAGACCATGCAATGCCTCCAAACTTTCTAATTTACACTGTGTGCACAGTGAAGGAATCAAGGTTAGAAACTAACTGCTACTAAATAGAGAATGTCTTTGGAGTCATCAGACACAAAAGTGAAAAACAAAATAACTCCCAGACAGAAATAACTCCCACAAAATAAAATTTCAAAATAAAAAAAAAAAAACAGAACAAAACATTAAACATAGAGAGAAATAAATCTTAAGAAACCACACACAGACTATATGGGATGTTCCTGGGGGACACTTCCTACATAAGATAATGGCACAGGCCAGTGTTACAAAGTACGTAAGAAATAATCCATCACGAGTTCACAGTTAATATAGAGAAAGGGAATATAACTCCCAGGCACTGAGATAACGGAAGATTCCGAAAGATGCCATAAATTCATTGATTTAAAAGGCAAAGATAAATATAGAAATAATATTTAAGAAATTGAATATTATGGAAAACAACAAATTTAGAAAAGTATGTCATGGAATTACCTTTGTTGTGATCATCAGTCCTTCAATATCACCTTGCCTCTATATGACATTTTCCTTCTGCCTGAAGAAGGAAAATAACCCACCCCCCACCAGCATTTTGAAGCTGTCTCTTCATCAGTTGGAGTTCACATTTACTCTTATTTTTGGTAAAAATTATGTGTTGTTGTTTTTCCTCCTTGCTGGCTTGCTTTATTTGTTTGTCTCTAATATAGTACATATTTAAGGTATAGAACATGTGTTTTGTACAAGCTAATCAACAGCTTCACCCGTCTCCCAGGGATGTGTGTGTGGTGGGAACACTCCACAGCCGCGCTCTTAGTAAATTTCTAAGACATAGTATTGTTAACTATAGTCACCACGATGGATATTAGATACCTAACATTATTCCTCCTACCTAACTGCAATTTTGTACACTTTGACCAATATCTCCCCATTTTTTTCACCAACTTCCTGCGTCTAGTAACCAACATTCTATTTTCTGCTTCCATAAATTTCACTGTTTTAGGTTCATCCCAGGGATGCAAGTTTGGTTCTGAAAGAATCGTCCACGCAAGACAACTCGCCGGGGAGAATTCCAATTTTATTGCAAAAGGCTGTGTGCTTATATAGATCTAAGGAGAGATGGCAGGGCTTAGATAAATGGCAGGCCACTTGTTTATTGGCAAGTTCTTCCAGATATCAGTTCCGGAGCCCAGGAATTAGTTCTTATTGGGGCTAAGKTTCCCCGCCAGCGAGATTTGAAATGGCACCGGCAGGAGAGTTCACACCCACGGGAACTTTTCGCGCCAGTGAAGAAAAGGGGAAAGTAGGAAGAGAAGGTCATTATACTTTTCCCAACAGGTTCAACATATGGGAATCAATAAATGTAATTCACCACATCAATAGAAAAGGATCAGATGCAGAACAAGCCTTTGACAAAATATGCATCCATTCATGTTTAAAACACCTGAAACACTAAGGATAGAAGAAACATACTTCAACCTTGTAAAGGCTGTATCTGGCAAACCCAAAGCCAACATCATTCTCAGTGGAGAAAAAAAATGAAAGCATTCCCTCTAAAAAGAGAAACAAGACAGTGAATCCCACTTTCACTACTTGTATCTCAACAGAATCCTAGCCAGAGTAATTAGGCAAGAGAAGAAAATTAAAGGGATACAAATAGGAAAAGAGAATCTCAAAGTATCTCTATTTGCTGATGATATAGCCCCCAAAACTATATATTTAGAAGACCTAAAACTGTCACCAGAAGAATTCTTGAACTCATAAATGAATTAAGCAAAGTATCAGGACACAAAATCAACACCCATAAATCCTATACTCCAATGATGAATCTGCTGAAAAAGAGATTAGGAAAACTATCCCACTCAAAATAGTCTAAAAAAAAAATACTTGGGAATCAATCTAATGAAAGAGGTAAAGGACCTCTGCAATGAAAATTATTAGAACAGTAAAGAAAGAAATTGAAACAAACAAGGAAGGGCCGAATGGAGGGATAAAGCAAATAAGAGGAGTGGAATCTTAGGGAAGATATGCTTTCAAAAAATGAAGGAAGATTTGCTGCTTGACCTTGCTTCTCCTACCCCTAAGAAAATTAAATAAAATATTTGTTATTCTTCAATGCTTTTGGAACATCAATATATTATTATTATTATTTCTCTCAATTCATAACAGGTCATGGTGAGAGCAGGAATTGGAAAGCTTGATTTAATTGTGCTTTGTATATAAATCCCAGTAACTGAGGACAATGATTAACACACAGCAACAGACACCAGAAAATGTCATTTTTTATGCCAGGAAAGTGGAAATTTACTTAAAAGCAACAACAAGAAGATACAGAGATGTCACTATAAAGGAAATAGAAGATAACAAAATGAGACTTCCAGAACTGAAGGTTTAACACACACCTCTTTAAATTTTCTGTATTATATGCATTTGTGTCAATTTCAAACTGAAATAGCTAAAACAATAAAATATCATTGGTGGTATCTATGTCCTAAAGAAAAGGTCCTGAGTTAGAAACACTAAACTTTGGCCACTGAAAATTAAAACAATGATGATTATCTGTACTCTTTAAAAAAAAAAAACTTTTTAAAAATATTTTTTTCTTTTAATTGTAGTTGGACACAATAACTTTATTCTATTTATTTATTTTTATGTGATGCTGAGGATGGAACCCAGTGCTTCACACGTGCTAGGTGAGTCCTGTACCACTGAGCCACAATCCCAGTGCCTATCTATACTCTTTATATCCCTCTAATATCAAAACAAACTGTTAAAGAGAAAGGTCTGTCATTCTCAAGCTAGTGTAAGTGTGCAACAAAGGTGTCCTACACCACTGACCTGCTCTATTCTTCAGGAAATTGTCCTCAGATATAGATGCTATTTCCTCTGGATCTTTCTGCCCCGTGTATGCCCTTTGTCCTGCCCTGGGTAGTCCATGGATAGTGACAGCTGAGAAAGAGTGCTGGGGACTAGCCATCTCACTTCTAGGAGAGGTAGCGCTGTGTTCTCACTTTCTAGAGCTTTAGAGGGGTCAGATGACGGTGAATTTACTCTAATCATTTTTGCTGAGAGTTTCTACTTGCTTAATTCAGGTGCTTAACTTGCTTCCCACAATATCTTCTCTATTTCGACTGAAACCCTTCCTTTATTAAATTTTCTTGAAAAAAAAAATAGCTGTTTCAGGATGTGCTTTCAGTGAATCCCAGTTAATGTCCACATCACAGAATGGCACGTCCTTATACACAGCCTCAGGTAGTAGCCCCTTAAGGATGAGAGTTACTAGTGTGGTATTATTATTGCCTATACCTCAGATCCAGTGATATAGTGGGGGCAAAAGGCATCCAAAATGACCATTCTAAAAGAAACTACTAGAAAATTAGAAATAAACATTGAGTTGTTCAGAAGATTTGCCAGATTGGTGGACAGTTGACCAAGAGTTCACCTTGACAACCTGGCAAGCCTCCATCTGTGTGAAATGGGGTCAAGGGCACCCACACTGATAAGATGCACACGGGAGTCCTAGTCTGGGTGATCTTGCCACCAGACCCAGATAAAGGAGTTTGAAAGAAAATAGGTTGGTTGGGAAATGACCTCAGGAAGCACTGTAGGGGACTTGGGAAGTGATTGGGGAAGGGACAGAAGGCAGTAGAGAGTACTGAGTAGAACACCCTGGAGGCAGCTAAGGTCCAATCCCACAGAGGACCTCAAGGTGACTGGTAGGATGCACCCGAGGGGAAGTGAGCAGGAGCATTTGTGCTCCAACTCCCATTCACTGACTGACCTCTGTGTCTGGGTGCTTGAACCTTCCTGCCCAGAGCTTGCTCTTCATCCAGAGAAAGTCCTCAGGCAGGAAGAGTCAGGGGCTTGCTTTCCAAACCACCTGCCTCCGTGAGCAGGAGGAATGTTTAAGGAGCAGACATGGAGCATCTTCAGTTGTCTCCGGCTCTTTAGAAAGGAGCTACCAGCAAAGTGTGAAAGGAGAACAAACATTCCAGAAGGAAAAAATAAAGAGACACAATACCTTTATGTTTGGGTGCCAATCAAATTCAGGTTTATTTAAGATGTGGGATTATCACCACATGAGAAAACATGGCATAGAGAAATCATTTCCATGGGGGTAACATTAGAGTTGACAGAACAGAGAGAAAACTCAAACCTGTTTTCATTTGGGAGAGATGTTATCTCATGGAGAAAGGGGCAGTATATCTGAAGGGCAAACCAATCTTAAAAGCAGTTGGAACTAATGCTTACAATTGGCCTGAGGACAGGGTACACAGAGAGACTCCATCAAAAATATTGGTTGATGAAGAAGAGGAGGGACCTGGTCAGGGTGCACAGCAGCAAGATCCACTAGAGCAGGGTGGACAGCCACAGGTGGTCTAGTAGCAGGAGGGCTGGTCACAGCTGGAGATGCAGCAGGAGGGCCTAGACATACAGCATCCTGACTGCTGGCAGCACACAGACTAGCAGCAGCAGCTAGGGCGGCAGCAGGTGGTCCTGCAGCAGGTGGTCTGGAGGCAGGTGGGGCGACAGCAGCTGGAGCCACAGCCACTGGAAACTCCACAGCCACTGGAGCCACCACAGCAGGGGCTGCAGCAGCTGGAGCCACAGCAGCTAGGGCGGCAGCAGGTGGTCCTGCAGCAGGTGGTCTGGCAGCAGGTGGGGCAACAGCAGCAAGAACCACAGCCACTGGAACCTCCACAGCCACTGGAACCACCACAGCAGGGGCTGCAACAGCTGGAGCCACAGCAGCTGGGGCGGCAGCAGGTGGTCCGGCAGCAGGTGGGGCGGCAGCAGGTGGGGCGACAGCAGCAGGAGCCACAGCCACTGGAACCACCACAGCAGGGGCTGCAGCAGCTGGAGACACAGCAGCTGGGGCGGCAGCAGGTGGTCCTGCAGCAGGTGGTCTGGCAGCACCTGGGCTGGCAGCAGCCACAGCCCTGGCCAGAGCAGCAGGAGCCACAACAGGAGTTGCACATGGTGWCAGAGACTGGAGGTTCTGGGGGTGTTTCCAGGAAGGTGGGTTTGGAAGGTTTGGAGGTCTCTCTGACCCAAGTCTCCTTTTATACCCTGCTAAGGGGCTGCTGTCTTCATATGCAACACCCTTTCCTTGTTATTGTTTGTGTTAGTAAATGGGCTATTATCAAATTAAGCCTGTTTATTTTTGTTTACACCTTCAGATTGATTGGAAAACATCATTTCCTTTTCCTGATGTGTTAGGTTTCATTCTTTAGCTCTTTTGAAATCACCTTTGAAGTGTGTTTCTTGCTCGAGCTTCTTCAAAGACTCGTTCTGGGTGTCACTCTCTCCCTGTCCTGGAGGCTTCAGTATCAGTTTCTGTAGAACTTCATTTCAGCCTTTGGATAATAATGACCTTAGAGTCCCATAATTCTTTTTGGGGACACAGAAGGATAAAGGTGGATTATAGTCTGATGGTTTATTCATTAGGGGTCTGTTGGGAAACGAAGATTTAGAGATGCAAAATAGACCACTGGCATGAGAACAGAAAAGTCTGTAAGGACGGGTTCCCATTCCCCACTGTCAATCATGACCTCTTTCCTAGATCTTTTCTTGGGATCCACAGAATGATTCCAAGATCCTTTGTAACAGAACGATTGTAAGGTGAAGGCCTTAGTGCTGAAACTGGATATTTTTTTCCCATGAAGTAAACCTTCAAAAATTATTTTTAGGGTCTCTTAGGGAAGTTGACTGTACACATCAGCTACTCCCTCAACTCTCCTGGTGGTGGGGAAGTGTTCCCTTCTGTTTTCGACTTCCTGCCTTTGTGGTTTTCACAGGTCCTATTGACTAATTTCTGTTTCCAGAACACACTTGCCAACTTAATTTAGATGACTGAGAGTCCTGGACCCTTATGTAACTCACATCTTACTGCCTTGCTCTCCCTGGATTCTGAAGCTGTATTGTCGCATGCTTTGTCAGTATTGAGGTTTTTGATTGGATTTTATTATTTGGTCTTTATTTTCCAAAAAGCAAACAAACCAAAAGAAAATCAGAGARTTCAAGCAAACATGTAGATCAATGGATTTCAGCTGACACTTATTCATAATGAAGATGTGTGGTGAGCCGTTTCTGTGTACTGTGGCCGCCATTACAAGATGGCGCTGATAAGCGCCGTGGCCTGTGATAAACAACTCCTTATTTTGGGAGAGTTGGCACGTAGCTGTAAAACACCCTATGAGAAAGATCCACGTGGCAGTTGTGCATTGGGGCTTTATCTGCTTTATTAAGGCTGGGGCACGTAGGAGTAGTAGTAGTAGTAGGAGTAGCAGTAGGAGTAGTAGTAGTAGTAGAGAGAAACAAGCTAAAAGACATGTCTAAACAAAGGCCTGAATAAACTGCTGAAGGAAGAATCCTGTGCCGTGTTTCCTTTGCTGGCGAGGGGACGCGGCAAAGATGGAGTAAAATCTTAAAGGGCTCAAAATTGCAAATACAAATGGCTAAGGTGACTCATGTTCCTAGAAAGGGGAAATTAGGGAATGATATTGGTCAATTTTTTTGTTATGTTGTGTACACATGAAAAAATATATAACAATGAATCCCATCATCATGTATAATTGAAATGTATCAATGAAAAATATGGAAAAACGAATTGCTGCCAGGACATCAGTTGGTGCCCTGTGGATCAAGAAACAGCTAGATAAAGATTAGTTGGTACCTCTATGATGGCATCCTTAAGTGTCTTTATTAAGTCTTAATTACACTCATTTATAAAATAAGCCCCTTGACACATTTCTATCATGTTAGCTTGCTTAGCAAATACCTAATTTACTGGTTCATATTTTTAAAGGATGTGTTGGGAAGATGGGAGAATGTGAAATATTTAAATATTTCAATATTCTGAGTGGAGAAATATTTTACTGAATTTGCTGTGCAAGAGGGACCCAGGAAAAAATTAAGACAACGAAGAAAGATGTTTTGATTACCAAGGGAAAGGTCTCTATATAAATTTGAGGAATCTAACAAAATCTTTTCACCACAGCTGAAAAGGGGGTGCACATCACACTCATAGACCAATGTATAGGTATTTACAGTCCCTCAGTTGGTGGTTCTCACAGCTGGCTGCATACTGGAGTCACCCAGGGAGTGTCAAACACTGCCAATGCTCCTTCCCTTTCCATTTTCCTTTTCTATTTTGATTTAATTGTTCTTGGGCAGGGTCTGGACTTTGGAAGCTTTTCATGCTCTTCAGGTTTTCCTGATGAGCAGCAAAGCTGAGACCCTGCTCCTTAAATTGCCTGTATTTTATCCATTTGTTTCAGTTTCAATTGAGAACACTTGCAAAAAATAGTTTTAATGATGGCATCTAAATTATAGAGAAAATGATCCTGAATTGGAAACATTGAACTTGGAGCAAGGACAGCTGACCCTCTGATATTCCTCTTTACTGTTTCATTTCCCCTTAGCACTAAAACCAACAGACCCACATGGACCAGAATGGTCCAGCACAGCACAAAGCACAATGGAAATCCCTGTGCACAATGGGTTTYGACGGAGGAAACCCAGAACAGGAGACGCATCACTCTAAGTACTTCTTGCTAAATTTTGTCCAGGGTCTATTAAAATAGAATGAATAGTTAACATCCAGATCATACTTAAAAATTATCTAAGTTTTATCCAAACCGTACCTCTTATATGACAGTGCAGGAGATGGAGAGTAATTTTTTTTCCCTCTAACCAATTTTTCCTTGTCGTTTTAGAGTGCAATGGGCAGAAGAACAAAAATTGAATTAGAGCAAATTATATTCCATGCTTTTATCACTATGTCTAAATGAATCCTACTGTTATGTATAACTAAAAACAACTAATAAAAAATAAATTAAATTAAAGAGACCACAAAGAAATTTGAATGAGGTGGACCTAACTGATATTTGCAAGCACCATCAAGGAATTGGGTTTTATGTCTGGGAGCAGAATGGACACATCTTGTTAGTATATTCTTTAAAGAATGGCATGCAATGCAGACTTCTTGTCAGATGTTACTTACATAATATTAGTGCACAACCTTTTTTAATTGATTCTTTTCATTATACATGACAGTATAATCCATTTTTATATAATTAGAGAAACAATAAATACATCATAGGTTTTGTGTTCATAGCTAAAAAGGAGGTGAACTATGCTGTTATTATAACATCATGATTTAAATAGAGATATAGTAGCAATGTTTAATGGATAGGAAAATTAACTTTTTTTTTTGATACTGGGGATTGAACCCAGGGGTTCTCAACCACTGAGCCACATCCCCAGTATTTTTTTATATTTTATTTAGACACAGGGTCTCGCTGTGTTGCTTAGGGCCTTCCTAAATTGCTGCGGCTGGCTTTGAACTCATGATCCTCCTGCCTCAGCCTCCTGAGCTGCTGGGATTTCAAGAGTGCGCCACCAGGTCTGGCAGGAAAATTAACCTATTTTCAATTCAACTATTTTACTTTACAACTGAAATCAAGTTCCATTTAAACATTTTATAATACACACACACACACATACACACACACACACAGTATTTCCAATCTTGATAAGAAGTGGTATAGGTAATCAGAACAATATTTAAAGTAATAGATATTGGCCAAGTTAGATTTTATAGCGTGTATTGTGTGCATGTATGAACAAATCTCATCAATATGTACAACTATAATGCACCAATAAAAAATGTGGAAAAATATAGTAATAAAAATATTTACTTTCCATTGATTGAATTTATGTCCTTCAAATATCTTCATTCATTGCTTATCTAAACTTATTTTTAATCTTTGAGAGAACGTTTCAGTTCTCCTGAATGATTAACACTCTTTATTATGAAAATCATAAATATAGTGAAAAGTATATAAGGCACATAATTATAATCATTAAGCAAGTATCTATGCCCTCAAAGTTCAAGTCCAAAAAGAAAGTGGCCATCACCAAAAAGGACTCCTGTATGTCTTTTTTGACCCCATCCATCTCCCTCCCCCCACCATGAAGAATCATTATCCTGATTTTTAAATTTATTTATTTTTTGTTTTTCTTTACACTTTACCCACCTACATATGCATTCCCAAGTTTAATTTTACATGCCTTTTGATCTTCTATAAATAGAATCTTACTCTGTCTTTTCCAACGCATTCTTGGTTCCATATTATATACTAGCCAAGAATGGCACCCCGTAAGGCATCCCTAGTGATCCTGGTGTTTATGGTGTTTGTGCTTTGAGTTACGCACGGTGTATCCCTAATGTTCCCTGTGGTCAAGCCTCCGTCCCCAGGGTGGTCAAATTGGGAGATGATGCCGACTTTGAGGGTCCATAGGAAGCTCTCAGGTCAGTGGGGGGGCGTGCCCTCCAAAGGGATTGAGTGACCTCAGCCCTTTCTGTTTTCTTCCTAGCTGGGGGTGGGAATAGTTTGCTCTGGGATGTGCTCCCTGGCATGACCATCCAGTGCCCTCGCCAGAGGCCCCAAAGAAAGGAACCTCCAGAGCCGTTGATCCTTCTGAATCAGCTCCTCACAGGAGACCCCAGTGTGAGCTAACTTCTTGATTGAGGCCTTGTAAACCCTATAAAGTGGAGAATGCAGCCAAGCTATTGTTGATGCACAAAAACTGTGAGATAATAAATGTATCTTTAAGGTCCTAAGTTTTAAGATGCTTGCATGAAAATGGACAGCTTATCCAGATTTATCTGTTTCTGCACAACCTACAGAAGAAGAAGAAAGGCCAAAGGTTGGATAAAGGAGGATAGACTAGAATATATCTAATCACAAGGCCTGAAAACCCAACAGGCTGTGTTCCCAGGTGAGACTCTGTTTACTAACACAACTAGGCAAGACCAAGCAAGAAGGTCGCTGAACATTATCAGTGACAAATTCAGTTGCCTTTTCTCTAAAATGAGAGCTTGTGGTAAGAATTACAGTTCTAGAACTGAGCACCTCAAGGACAATGGGAATTGTTAAGATTAAAGAATAGCAAAGATGAGAGGGAGATATTT